CATTTTTATTTTTATGAGTCAAATCTCTCTGCTCACCGTTACTTCCTAGTTTTATTTTTAGCATATAACACCGAAAAACGTAAAAATTTTCGTATGTCTGTAAATCAATAAATACAGAAGTTATTTATCATCATAACACATTCCTGTAGATAAAAGTGTCATATAAATTTCAGTATTTTCATATAATCCTACCAGTATAAATTGCTATATTGTTCATATTATTACTTTAAAATTAAAATTCAATATACAATAAAATGTTCGCATAACTATAAATATTTCTTGTTAATTAGATAGATCATTACCGTCGACAATTCTAAATATAAATTCTTCCTTTAAAAGAATGATTATAAATCTTTTTTAGAACCGTGTTGTAACGATCAAAAAGGGATCATCCGACCCACTGAGAGGTCCATGATGGTGTCAAAGAACGCTATAAGAAACCAGCCTGAAAAGTGAGTGAAGCAACATCAGAAAAATTTTATCTGTACTTTGAAAAAGGCCACAGGGTTGGTGAGAACGTTAGTAAATACTCAAGCCTACATATATGGTTTCATTTAACGGCAAATAAAAATGGAGAATCGTCAACATTAAAACGACAGATAAGGATGAGTTTCAGATGTTAAAAATTCTAATAGTTATAAATAGTTCTCGAGATATAAGGTATATATTTAATGTTTAGAAAATATAGAATAAGTCACCCCGAAAAACAATATGGAAAAACAATAAATGCAAAAATACCCAAGTATCATTCAAACGTTAACAAAACCCTAAAGCATTTAAGGGGGTATTTTTATTGTGAACATTTGTTTTTAACTGTCAATGAAGCGCGTGCTCAATATCTATTCAGGGTGGGCACAAGAGAGATGCAGCTGACGACCGTCCTTGAGGTGTAAACAATTTTTGAAGCCATATTAGGTCTGATATCATACAGTTCTTTTTGCATAAACTTGTGCAAAAAACGAAACAGAACATTTTTCTGTGCAGATGCGGAGTACGTAAGATACAAAAAGCTTTAAAGGCTGCATACTTCGGTCAGACGGTAGGTACCTGAGGAAAAATATTCCAAAAATTCTATGGATATTGTATAAATATTTTTGGGTAATTACCGTTGACAGTTATAAATATCAATTTGTCCTTTGAATGAACGAAAATAAATCAATCTGTAAAATTGGAAATGCAAGAGGAATATATTTTGTAAAGCCGAAAAGTAACGAGTATGTACATAGCTTCAAGTACAGAGGACCATCGATGTTTTTATGTGCTGCACCTATATACTAATTTTGATTGATTAAATAAGAAAGTTTTGATAAATACGATGATTACCAAATGAATCTTGACCTTTTAGGAAATGAAAATGAATGCCACTATTAAAATGGGAGTGTAGCTATCGGAAAATTGTCATGTACCAGCTACCAAGGAATACTAGGCTGATGCCATGTTTTAAGAAAAGCATGGCATTAATGTGTCCTTTATTGAAATTTCCGCATACAATTGAATCATTTTGTATTAATGACAGAAATAACTAATGACTATATTACGGAAATAAATGTTAATATATAGCTAAGGCATATTCTGTTTGAAGGCTGAAAGAAGTATTAAAATGAAAATATTTTTTAATAAAACAAGATACTAAAAACGGTTCAGCAGCTTCATAAGCACAGTTCCCAGGATATCCAGAATGTGTAAAGACGAGCAAAAAGATTTTCACCAGATCTACCAACATTAATCCGTTCAAGGCTCGCCAGTATTCAGTTCCTGCCTTTTCGGCTGCTGCAGGATCGTTCAAATTATTATACCTACCAAGAAATATTGTTACATATTATATATAAATATATACACCACATAGCTCATTTTATGAAATAATCAAGCATTTCATGGATTTTTTGTATACTCCAGCTACCACGAAGGCCTAATGCCTAAATAGCCATGGGGTACTGTGGGGCTATAGGGGGATACAGGGGAAAGGGGGAACGCCACACGGACTCTGGCGAGGGAACACGTGTGCATGCAGCATGGACACATTCTGACCCCGATTACGAGATCCGCCGTGTGGTACCTCCGCGTACGACAGTCAGACTCCGTCTACCACTTACGGACAATCACAACATGAAAAATATTCGAACCGTGCAACGCACGGCGACTGATGAAGAGACGTTTGGAGCGTCTTCTTCACTTATTGACATGACGGCCATTATTAACAATGTTGATTGAGAATTTTGAAAATTCGTGACATAACGAGGAAGAATGTGCGATCGAAACACAAAAGGGTACCTCAGTACTATGGTTTTTTTGTTTTGTTTATGGACACAACGTTGACGATTTAACAATATGGCGAAATCTTATTGGCCATTCCATAGCACGTGAACGTCTCATAAAATGCTCGATTATTTCATGATATGGACAATTCTACTATATGGCTACAGCAAATCCAGTTTCTTTGAATCTCTTATGCCCTTAATGACTGTAAAACGATCAGTTACCGTAAAATCACCCTTCGAGATGTGAAACAACATTAGCGGTAAGCTGAATGAATGAAAATAAAACTTAATGGTCCTGGCAAGGCATCCGGTATGCGCTTCAAAAATATTTGACCGATAACGTGGGGTAACATGACTGGTACCGTTGCGTACCTCGACCATATGGTCTTTACTGAACGCAGATGAACATATGGGGCTATTCAGAGGTGTGGCGCCAGTAGACTGGGATGAAAAATGATGTTTCGGCCCTTTCTGGTAGGTTCTGTGACTAAAGTTAGCCATGTGGCCTTCTTTTTTGTTTAACAATGACAATGATCGGATCACATCCAAGTCCAAGCTTATCCCGCAAAGCTCAATGGTATGTGCTCTACCATTGGTGCTCCAGAGTCTCTCGCATGCGCATTCGCATTCTAAGCCTCTCATGTAGCCCTGCTAGGTTCCTGAACGTAATTTTTATTTTATATAAGTGAAAATTATATATGTCTAAATGTAGACATAGACAAGGTATACAATAGCAAATAGGAGTATTAATTCAAGTAGGTTGCTTGTATGTGTGCAATGCCTATACAAGATTTCCGGATAATTGAAAAAGGCCTAAATGTCGATATCTATTATTTATACATATACAGTTTTTAATGAATTTTTTAACTAAATTAAATATATTCAAAACCCACCTATTTGACTAATTTCATTCTGCTTCGTCAGCATCGTCAATTTTCAGATTGGCAAGACTTTTTTACATATACATCATTTGACGAAATATGTTCTTCCGTCTTCGAACAGAATGGACCCTAGTTCATCGATTTTTTTTATCTTTTAGCGCGCTTAATTTTTAAACTTCATAGTTGCTGTTTTGCTTATATTTTGATGTTTGTGAGTAAAACTACCTTGACTACACAATTTTATACATTGAGTACTTATACATTGTATGCACATTTATACATTGTATACGTACTGGCTACAGGGAAACGTGGCGGTAGTATTGAGTATCTCACAAGAACGATTATCATCAACTGAAGAGGACGACGATACCGACAAACCTACCGAATTATGCCTCACCGCTCACCGTTTTCCCTCTTGCATTCTTTCGCTGAGCAGATATTAAGTATCTGCTTTCGTTTTATGTGCTTGCCTCTGCCCTTACTGATTGTTTCACAAATCTAATAACTTCTTGCTGGTCCAAACTTACGAACTACTTTAGACGTACTCTAAACAAACTTTATTTGAGTAATAATTAACCGATTGTTAATCTGGATTACTTACAAATCAGCTTTAGCAATATATGTATCTCTAGTCTCTAGTCAAACTTTATTTGAGTAATAATTAACTGATTGTTAATCTGGATTACTTACAAATGAGCTTTAGCAATATATGTATCTCTTGTCTCTACTCAAACTTTATTTGAGTAATAATTAACCGATTGTTAATCTGGATTACTTACAAATGAGCTTTAGCAATATATGTATCTCTAGTCTCTCGTCAAACTTTATTTGAGTAATAATTACTCGATTGTTAATCTGGATTACTTACAAATGAGCTTAACAACATATGTATAATCCGTAGATTCTATTCAAACAAAAATGTCAACGATCCCCTATGCCACAGGACGACAACCGGAGGGACGATACCCATCTCGCCAACAGGCTGCCAATGTTGTATAAGGAATTTTATCTCGCTTCTGACCGCTTGCGGTTTTACGGTTTGTATTATAATACAGGGACGGAGCAAGGTCATCGTCGGAGTAGTTCGAAGAAGGTCAAAAAAACGTGCAACAACGCTCTTCTCGTCCTAGAATGACTTCGCGGGATCCGATACGGTATTTGTCGCGGATCGGCTTTTTGTCAACACTGCCTGTCGTACGTTAAGAGACCGCTCCGTGGTTTTTTCAGAGTATACTGAGGAATAGCTGGGTTAGAATCTGATCGTCCTTGTTCTTCAATTATAGGAGTATTTCTTGTGGATATCAATATTGGTGCAACATCAATATCTTGCCTCCAAAAAGTATATTCTTGGTGTTTTCAGTTTTTTCTATGAACAGTACGAGAGATGTCTTTCAAGTTTTGCAAATAGAAACATAACAGGCCGCGCGGATCGGACGTCGGTACTGAATCTTAACCTCACTCTTTAGTAAACTTAAATTCAAAGTTTCACAACAATACGTGCAGTGTTCTCACTACAGTGAATTTTTAAGTGCGACGATCCCAGGGTGGGTGCACCAAAAACGGCAGTCACCCAGGAAAACGTCGATGCTGTGCGCAAACTCATCATTGAAGATAGATGTGCGACATATCGCGAGATTGAGGCGTCCTTGAAGATCTCAAAGACCTCAATTCAAAAAATTTTAGGGTTAATTGGTGTCAAAAAACGCTTGACCGTTTCAATTCCGGAAACTCAAAAAATGTGTACAGCATTGTTATTGGTGATGAATCGTGGATTTACTGTTACGAACCAGAAAACAAACGGCAGTCGGCTGTTTGGGTGTTCCAAGGTGAAGAAAAGCCAACAAGTCATCCGTTCTCGAAGTGTTTCCAAAAAGATAGTCGCGACATTTGTTTGCCAAAAGTCATCACCGAGCTTCGAAAAATCAACCCCGAAAGAAGAATCATCCTCCACCAAGACAATGCAAGCTCGCACACAGCCCAAAAAACAAGGCAGTATTTAACGGAAGAAAACGTGGCATTATTGGACCATCCTCCATATAGTCCCGATCTAAGTGCTAACGATTTCTTTACTTTCCCGAAAATTAAGGACAGACTGCATGGTCGAAGGTTCCACCAGAAGAAGCAGTTGACGCATTCAAAAATGCCGTTTTGGATCTGCCAGCAAACGAGTGGAATAAGTGCTTCGAAAATTGGTTCGAGCGCATGCAGATCTGCATGAATCTTCGTGGAGAATACTTCGAAAAACAATAAAGTCATTTAAAACTACCTACCGAGTTGTTTTATTTCCATATGCAAAACTTAAAAGGCATCCCTCGTAAATGATCTTCCAAGGTTCAAACGTAAACATTCGCTGCTAAGCTGGGGCATAGTAAGTTCTAACGGTCTCAATCTATAATTCGATCGATCGATGAAAAGTGTCAAGCAATAGTATCAGAAAGAAAGGTATGGGAGTAAGGCCTCCTATACTCTCTGAAAGCTACTGGCTCACAATCTGAAGACATGGTTTCAGCCAAGATTTTTAAGACAAGGCCAAAAACAGAGATCTCTGTAGGTCTAGGTAATATAGCAACAATATGTCAGTCTGAAGGAATGAATTCAGATTAGGTCGCAGCAACAAGATTGCGATTTGTTTGTCTCCAAAATCTCAGTTTGTAAACTGGTTGAAAGTACATACTACAAGTGGACTTAACATAAGTCAATTTTTTGCTAGGCCTGTCATTAAATTCGCGTTTTTAGTGTTATGTCTTATAGTGCGAGTCTTTGCGGACAATTCTGGTTTCAGACGATTTCAGGAATTGGTACTTCTTGCATAATTTGCAAAGATCGGCACAAGCTTAATGAAGTATATGTTATGTTGATACAACGTTTTCACATTGGTAGCTCACTGAGATGCCTTTTTCGTTCATTCCTCCAAATGGTGTTTTATTAAAAAAAGGTTTAAAATCACCTCAGCGCCCGAACCACTAAGTAGTACCACAGGTCTCCATCGATTTTCTATAATAAAAAATCAGACAGCCCATATTTAAACGTCTAATGAATCACCTCGCGAAACCGGTATGATATAACGCGAACATAATTTTCGCACGACACGGTCGGTCTTGAGATACCTACTGAAATCAAGTATGCCATGGTAGCCCGAGGACACGGATCTAGTTTTTTTCTTTTGTTTCTTTGTAATGGTGGAGGGTTGAAGCTGGTGACGTCATACGGTGTCTGCGATGCCGCAAGGTGGATGCTCATCGGATATTTCTGTATCGGTTGCTACGGAGAGGCTGCGTCTTGTGTGGAAATCAGCATTCTTGGATAGGAATGATTCGGTATCGGGTGTCAGCTAACCGCAGAGGTACCGCAGTAATTGAAAAGCTAATCAATTATCGAGTCACAAAAATTGAGGATAATTTTTTCTTCTAGAATTACAATCTCTGTCGATGCAATTAAGTTAAAAATCATCTTATTTAATGAGATATATCCAAGGGATAAGGAGAGCCTTTGGAAATCAAGATCCTTTGGACAGGGGTTGATAGAAGGAACGGTACTAAATAAGTGGATCGATTTAAACTTTTGAAGTTACGAAAATACTTATTACCCTTATAGTCTCAAACCTATTAGACTAGGAACACAACTAATTTATGACGATACTGAATTTTTAATGCATCTAGTAATAAAAATCGGCACAGACAGACCAAAAGACGCCTAAGAAACATGTCATTTTCGAAATGTTTTGCGATAACAATACTTCATACAGTAGTGTAGGAACTATAAATATTACATTGTTATATCTGATCCGATCCACACCACCTTGAACATTGTCAGCTAACCATTCTTCCCTAACATTTATCATTATCATTTTTCAACCGGAATGTGTTAGTTAACACTGCCAGTTAACAACGTCTGCGACGTCACGCACTGGTTATTGTTTTGGTTTAATATTTTTCTTGGTTAAATAGACTATAGATGTGTAGGTGTATCTGAGTTAGAGACATATGAATAGAATATCGCCAAAAATTGAGATATCCATTCCCAACCTTCATACTTAATTTCATACCCTTTAAATGGGTAAAAGGAATTCCATTGAGTTTCTGAAATGAGAAGAAAACGAAACTTGATACATTTTATTTATATATATATTTTTTTTGTTTTTTGCACGTAGCTTCGTCGCCACCATATCAATTTAAAAAAACTAAGGCAGTGTTTTATGCCAAAATTTCATCAAAATCCCAGCAGTACCTTCCAACTTATAGAGGAGCTAAGATTTAGCGGACATGGTTTTTCTTGATGTGCATCGTACAAGATGGTAGCGATGCAGTTTTAGACCTTGATCCTGCTTTCTTATCGCTTTCCACATGGTTACGAAACTTACAAATACTTGTGATCTAGAACAATATTTTCTAAAGTGGGCTATAACGCCCTCCTATAGGCTCTAAAGACCAACAGATGTGTGGTACAGAGCATAGAGGAAATTGTGTGGAGGATGAACTGATTTTGGGGAAAATGCCATGGCTAAGACTCATATATATAGACTCTAGGTATATTTGAACCAAAGTAACTTGGGGGCGCTAGAGAATTATTGACTTTCGAAGTAGACGAAATAAGGTTGCTCTAGAATCCATCGTCTATGTGCATCTGTCTGCAAATCTTCAACTACCGTGGTGGTTCTCTTCGTTCTTGGATCGCGCAATGTCATCCACCCATGCTGCTGGCTTGGCTGTGAACTTGATCTTCGTCTTCGATCTATAAATAGAACGTGAACTTGAGGTGAAACGCGCTGAATGCCGCCAAGCCATTTAATTCCATCCGACTTAAGCGCTCACCACGCGGCTCGCCGCAAAAATATCAACGTAATCTGCTAAATCGCTACACGCTTATATAATTTTGCCTGAATTCTTAATGTTTCTTTAATAGCAGTGATTTCGATAGGTTTGTTTACATCCGCATTTTCTGCTAAAATAAGATGCGGTAATAAATATATCTAAAAATTATAGTTTTCTTAAATTTGGTTGTTTGTATTAGACATTCGATAATTTATAGATGTCCTTACCTGTAACATTTTTATCGTGCTGTTGAATATGCAAAATTTTCAAAAATAAAATAAATGCTGCATTGTCGCTTGTCACTAGACTGTCGGACTAATAACTAGAGTGGCAGGTTGGAATCGATTGCACAACGAACGTTCTAGCACAAGATTGATAGTATGTTACGTACCTTGGGAGGAAAATTTGCCATTATTTGCCAAGGTCTTTTATATCCTGACTGCTAACTATGATATATTACCGCATTTAACTTGATTGTACTTTGAGATATAGCATATCTGATAACTTCCCTGACGTCCCGCAATACTGATGAAGCCATCATCACAGGACAGTTCATAGGAAAGTGACGCTACCATGTCCAATGTCTCAAGCAGCGTCAGAATAATGTGAAAATACTATAAACAACAATAATTTTATGCAACAAATACTCGTGGTAAACAAAAATTGTTAGTAATATTCAAAAATGGATAATGGGTTCAATAACTCTGACCAAAAAGCATAGGGTTTTTTATGGTAATCGTTTACCTAGAGGAGGAAATGTGACCCCTCAGAGTGATAAGATAAGAAATAGCGATTACTAAGCTTAGTAGCAGAAAATAGCTATTGTTCGGTATAAGGTCCACAGAGATTTTTTTTTTTAATTTTTTCTTTTCATTTCAAAAGCAATTGGACTTTTCGTTAAAGAAAGTGGAAAGATTCTATCGTCTTCGTCAGATGGCCTTTAAAATATTTCTTGCTATAAGATATTCTAATTAATGAGGACAGGTTTCTCCGATACTTTTAATAAACTGTTGAGAATGGGGAAGGAAAAATATGACAAGTTCCATTTGTACGACAATTTTGTTCATAGATATACTTGATCTTATCGGCGACATACACCAGGATATAGAATTATAAATTGTATAAGCGAAGTTTACGTCAGATTTCTTGAATACAAATGAATATGATTATTCATCTAGACATACAAAAACTTTCGCTGTGTAGCTTTTTTACTAACCGTCAAAGTTGAAAAAATGTTTGCCCGTATATTCAAAATCTGATTCAGAAGAAAGCTTTATAGCATGAAAATACCTTTCAAATGAAACCAATTTGCTGTAGCCGTTAACTTTTTATTAAAAAAAGTCAATTTTCAAATTTATTCTTTACTAAAAAGCGCAAGCAACACAAAATAATAATTAATATACAAAACTCTAATCTATTATGTTCATCAGCATCCATCAAAAATGTCATAAAAATTTCTCAACAGTTTTAGAGAATTTACAACTGAATATTTTAAGATTTATGGTCATTTTTACGAGCTGTCTAGGGACATAGCCGCTTCAGCAAATTTGACATTTGAGGTCTCATTGTAAACGTCTTTTCATCCTCTACAATATTTCTGTGGATGACTTAGACCAATGCTTCGTTTTTTAAGAGCTTATTTACATTTTGACTTCCCACGCCTACCGTCAGAAGTATTGTACTCGCGAAAATGTTCGATGATGAGGTATGTTTTTTGGATGTTATATGACATGTACATCACGAAAAAGTATGTAACTCATGTCCTGTTCTGTCTGTCGTGTCTGCCTCTCTGTCCGCTAATCCTATAACCGCCTATAACTTGAGAAGTATTGCTCGCTGTGTAATGTAAATCCTACAAAATGTTACTACGATCCCAAGAAAAAAAAAGCTTTGTAGTTTTTCGAAATCGGTTCACTGATGGCGGAGAAAAAGGCCAACACATAAATAAACAAAAATCGCTTGAACTTCGTTTTATGACATTTTAGAGGATTCTTAACATCTTTGGACAAAATATGTCAATTTCTTTATGCTGTTGTATTTATACGCTCCCAACGTTTGTATTTCTAAGTACCTATTAGAGATATTTCACACGTGATAGATATCTCCGTACGTACAACTAAAAATATTCTCATCAGACGGATCGCGTACCTACCGGCCGCGTCTGCTTCTGGTCCCAGCTGGCCTTAGAAAGTGTTCTGGTATTACACGTATCACTGCCGCGCTGTCACGCCTGACCGGGTTAGTTATCGGGGAGAGGCGACGTTGCCAGATCGGCAGGGAAAAAATGTCTGTGGACTAATTCTATGGGCATGTTTAGCTGACTTTGTTCTCAGAGGGCTTAGTTTATGCCTAGCA